TATGACTTTTCAATCCTTGCCTCTATGTCTCCATCAGAAGTCTTTGCCTATCCATTCATTATCATCCCATTTTACCAGGGTATTCCTGAAGATAATCTGAGAAATGAATAGACCAGCCCTCACAGGCCTTGGTCAAAATCATGTAACTTCCTTTTGCTTCAGTCTCTCATCTGTGAAATGAAAGGGTTGGACTCAATGGCTTCTAAGTTCCTTTTCAATTCTAAATCTAAGATTCTATGAAATTTAGCAATCTCCACAACACACTGCAGCCCCAGGCTCCCAAATGAACAAGAGATCTAGAGAACAGAAAAATCCAGTGCAGTTGCTGTTTGCTAATTACAAAAATATATTTGACATGACAGAAAGAGAGTATTAAAGACTCTCCTCCACCCCTACAATGGTCCTGGAGAAAAGAAACTGAAAGGTTCTCCATGGCAGAGAGGTAAGGGACTATTAGGACAAAAGTGCAAGTAATATTATATACATATACGGCTATATGTGTACACATATACACACATTAGCATATACTCCTATAGATATACTCTGTGTATGTACGTTGTCAAACAGAGTCTCTATTGCACATAGTTTGGAGTTTTTGTCATAAGAGCAACTTTATTTATTTATTTATTTTTTGGTTAGGCAATGGGGTTAAGTGACTTGCCCAGGGTCACACAGCTAGTAAGTGTTATGTGTCTAAGGCCAGATTTGAACTCAGGTCCTCCTGACTCCAGGGCTGGTGCTCTATCCACTGCATCACTTAGCTGCCCCAATAAGAGAGACTTTAATCAGGGTAGAGGAGTAGTATGAACTGAAGACCTAAAATACACACACACACACACACACACACACACACACACACACACACACACATATCATAGAAAAATGACTGACTTTCCCATACATAGTTTGAGATCAGACAAGATTCCTGGATAAATAAAACCATGAAGATAGCTATGTTCAATCCTCTGAGAACTGACTGAAAAAAATATCCTGTTACCTATTGTTGTTCAGTCATTTTTCAGTTGTGTCTAACTCTTCATGACCCTATTTGCAGTTGTCCTGGCAGAGATACTGGAGTGGCTTACCATTTCCTTCTCCAGCTCATTTTACACATGAGGAACTCAGGCAAATTCAGTTAAGTGACTTACCCAAGGTCACACAACTAGTAAGTGTCTGAGGCCAGATTTGAACCCAATCTAAATACTCCTGACTCCAAGACTGGTGCTCTATCCACTGAGTCACCTAGCTCCCTCTCCCTCTCTGTCTCTCTGTCTCTCTCTGTCTCTCTCTCAGCTATATTTCATCCCACTGGTTTTCAGACATTCTCTGTTGTGACATGCCTTGGCTAAATGTTGTTCCCCAAGCTCATCCTGCACTCTCCTACCTCTTTACCTTTCTGCTGTTGATACCCCCCCATATGAAAAAGTTGATACCCCCCCATATGAAAAAGTTCTGAGTTCACATCTAGGCAGGCTGAAATACTTTTCTTTTTTCCAGGACCAACTCAAGAGGTATCTTCCAAGAGATAGCATTTTCTTTCTTCCAGGACTTTCCCTGGCCAAAAAGGAACTTAGCCATTGTTTGAATGTCTACAGAGAACGCTGGATGTCTCTCCTTTGCCCACATCAGTGGTACCCTTGGATTGTTGCTATCTGCATACATGCCAACTCCCTTCCTGCTAGATTCAAAGTTCTTTGAGGGCCCAGAGGGAGAAGCCTGTGGGGAGGTGAAGGGGCTGAGACTTTTTTTTTGTTTTTGTGTCCCCAGTAACTAGCCAAACAACTGCACAGAGATACTTAATAAATGTTTATTGAACCAAATGGAGATAGTCATCTTTCAGCAAGATGTCTCTTTATGTCTTGTGTAGTTTCCTCTTTCTTTCTGCTCAATAATCTTACATTTGTGAAATAATTCTTGATTATAGAAGCATTTTCATATATGTTGCCTCATTGAGTCCTCCCAATTGTTCAATGGGGACAGTAAACTACATATTATAAGAGGATGAGATCATAGATCAAGAGCTCATCCAACTTCATTTTACAGACAGGGAAACTGAGGCCCAGTGAGGTTAAGTGACATGTACGAGGTCAAACTTAGATAAATAACCACTTGATATGTACCAGGCAAATGCAAAGAAGAGCAGAAAGACAGACAATGCCTGTCCTCAAGAAGTTTATGTTCTAATGGAGAAATACAACACATTAAAAGGGATCTGAAAGATGGAGAAGGGGAAAAGGTGCCCCCAAAGGGGCACAACGAAGAAGTTCAGAGAGGCAGGAGCAGAAGAGTGAGCATGACTAACTTGGCCGCATCCTCAAAATGGGGGGCTCTCAGAGGAATGTGTCAATGAAAGGAGATAGTTGCTGAGGTAGAAGAATCTTCCAGAGTGAGAAGCCTGAGGAGTCAGGGGTGGAGCTGGGAGAGGAGACTTAACATCTAGTCATAAATAGATTTAGAGCTGAAATGCGCCACAGAGGGCATAGAGTTAACCCCCCTCAGAAACTGAGGCTCACACAAGTTGTAACTTGTCCAAGGTCAAGGAAACCAGGGATGCTGAGAGGCAGAGATGAGGGGAGAAGGTACTTAATGACTTTTGACTGAATGGAATTTAAATGAGTCTTGACCCAAGTGAATGTGAGCTCTCATCAAGCAAAGACCAAAAATCTGAGCATACGTAATGCAATTAATATTGTTTATACCCTTTGTTTGTCTGGCTTGAACCTTTTCCCATATCACTAGTCATTCTACACAAGGGAGAACAAAGGACTTTAATTCTAAGTCACACAAGGTTTCATATCAGTTAAGGATAAAAGGAAGAGAATTTCATTATTGGTTCCATTCTTAATTCCATCCCCCATTTTCATGGTATTCTGTGTCTTTGATCTATGTTGGGAAAACCTGAGCCAAAAAAGTTGAGTTTGAGTCCTAGCTTATTGGCTAGCTATTGTTGTTGTTGTTTGTCCTTCATTCTTGAAGAGGATGATGATATCAGGGAGGCGATGCCATGCCATGCAAATGAATTGGATTTAAGTAAGGTAGGGCTGTGCAAAGTCCCCAGCCTTACTCTCCTCCAGAGACATCTGGGTCCAGCAGTGAGATATAGGTCAGGACAACTGGAGATAGCCCTACATGCAGTGGGAGACCTTGGCCTTTTTAAGCTAGGGTCTTTAATAGGTCTCAGTTTGACTGAGGCAATGTTCATTCAGGGATTAAGCTATATGATCTTGGGAAAATCACAACCTCTTTGAGTTGCAATGGGTGGGAGAGAGGGAGGTAGGGAAGGAGGGAGAAAGAAAAAGAAAATTAAAGAAAGAAAGAAAGAAAGAGAGAGAGAGAGAGAGAGAAAGAAAGAAAGAAAGAAAGAAAGAAAGAAAGAAACAAAGAAACAAAGAAACAAAGAAACAAAGAAACAAAGAAACAAAGAAAGGAAGGAAAGAAGGAAGGAAGGACAGAAGGAAGGAAGGACAGAAGGAAGGAAGGAATAAAAAGAAAAAAGAGAGAAAGAGAAAGAAAGAAAGAAAGAAAGAAACAGTGAAAGAAAGATAGTATTTGGTGACTGGGCATATGTTTACATTGGTAAAGATAACTCCTCAGGAGTGGGGTAGTTTCTAAAGAGCTGACCTTGGAGTCAGGAAGAACTACTTTCAGGTCGGTCTGTGTCTCATGCAGCCTATTTTACAGAGCAAGTTGATTACACGCTTAATGTCCCTGGAAATGGTCCCAGACTGGAAGAAACTTATTTGTTAGTAAAGTTTCCTCATTGAAAGTTTCTTTTTTAAGGCGAGACCTATGATTTCATTGATATAGGAAATCCCAAATAAGGAAAGTCCCTTTCCCAGTGGAGCTAGGCAGTTGCTCTAAAACTTACAATTTGGGGAAAGTATCTGGGACATTGAGCATTAAAATGTGTTAGAGGCCTAATTAAAAGATCCGCTCTCTATCAATTTTGAAATCCTCCCCCCCATCCCCTTCACTCTCTCTAGGAAATACTGAATGCTTAATAATTGTTCCCTTTCTCTCTATATATAACATACTATATATTATCATATTATTTATAATATAATAGGTTATATATTATATGCATACATGTATACATGTGTTGTATACATGTCGCATATATTTATATTTCTATATGTGGGTATATATCAAGTGTGTATATAAATACATGCATGTTATACATACATATATCCATATATTGCTTGTTTCCCTCATATTTGAATAAAACCCTTGATTTAAATGATTTTTACATATATAAAGTGAAGGGTGAAAGTGACCTAATTATAAATTTTGCCAAATGAATGCTGTTAGATGAATGTACAATACAAATCCAAACACATTTTCCCCTCTAATAATCAGATCATTATCTTTGGGGTGGTACATATCATGGAGAATACAAAAGGAATAACTTTCATGAATTCCACATCTTTTTGTGACTGGAGTGGTGAATGCTAAACACTCCCCAGAGTGTACATACCCATGAACATCCCAGGAAACATGCTGGCTCATGGGAGATGGAAAAGACTCATTTCCTACATAACTGGCTACGCATGCGTCACTTAACTATTTGTTTATTTATTTGACCAAAAGACGGAGTTGCAACTTTTCATTAGTCAGATCTCCATAGATTGGTTGGGATATTTTTTCATATCCCAGCATAGCCTCAAAGGTTTTTGCATAATCACGAAGCAGAAAGCACATTGGGGAAATCAAGAGACCCAGGATGAAGTCCTTGTTTTGCCACTAACTACCTGTGTGATACTGTGCCTTAGCTTCCTTTTATGTAGAATGGAGGGAGGGGGGGAGAGGAGAGAGGTTAGTGGTTTCTAGCCCTAACAATTACTCAAATTATGTCATTATGGTTTTTAGTGCTTCTTAAACTGTGGGTCATGACCCCAAATAGGGTCACAAAATTTTTGACAACAGTAAAAGTTTTCTGAATGTGCAACAACCAAAAATTAATTAAAAATCAAACTCATAATGAATCTGAGGTGTTTCTGGCATCAGGCAACTTCATCTGCAGCCTTGGTCCTGAACACAAAGCATGTGCACTTTGTGCTGCGAATGCTCTCAGGCCATGCAACACCAACTAACACTGTCAAAACCTGAAAAGGAGGGTTGAGAGTGGAAAACATTTAAGAAGCCCTGGTTTAGATCTCATGGCCTACCGAAAGATCAAGCTCACAAAATTGCCTCCATCCTGAAATCTCCTTTTCTGTCATTTTCAGACTATGTTTACCATGGCTAGAAGAAATATTATTATAAAATTGGCAAAGAGCAGACTCACCGAGATTATAGATGTAAAAAAGACAACAGTGGACGAACATGTGTCTTCCAGAGAGATTCATGTCAAGATCTAAGCATTCAGGTATATATTTTTTCATTTCAGGAACATTTTTATTAGTCATTTGACTCTTGAAACTTTATTTGCTTCTCTGTGGATTAGGAAACTGCAATTATTTTCTGCTCAAATAATCCTAGAGTTTTTCTTCTAGATTTTGGAGTCTATTTTTAAACCTACAAAAGAAATATGGTGCTTGGCAAATAGTAGATGTTTAACAAATACTAACTGATTGACTTAGAGTGTGTTGCCACATAACCACAGAACCAGCTTGTGTCCCATAAAACCTATGAAATTTTGCTTATTGAAGAATCCTTGTTTTACCATCGTTAAGCACAATGATGTATTTATTTGGATTATTTGAATCAGAAAGTTTTAAAGCTGCATGTGATATTAGGGACTGTTTTTCATTCCATGAACTCATCAGTGTAGGTATTTCTTCCCTCTACTAGTATAGATTGCGACCCCTTCAATACCTTCTGATCCTGTATGAGTCTTGTACATCATCTTTCAGTGAGTTCTCCATGGAAGAATGCCTCAGTTTACTGGAGGTCTCTGCTGGTCCTTTTATTATGTTGTGGCACACTCCTTACCTCTGCCTCTTAGAATCCCATTTCCTTCATACTCATCTTAAGCACCACTTTCTATAGAACTCCCTCCCACACCTGCTGCTGGTGCCTCCCTTCCCAAATTACTCATATATGTTTATATTTTCTCCCCTAATAGAATATAATCTTCTTGAGGGCAGCAGCTATTTCATTTTTGTCTCTGTGGCACCAGCAACTAGCACTGTGTAAAGGAGAGTAATGTGAAAGGTAGTTTGGAGCTGTGTTCTTGATGTTTCTCTGAGACTTCTTTGAGCTCTAGGTCTGCCAACAGGAAGAGCAAGGAATAAGGAAACAGAACAGACTTGGAGAGAATGGACTTCTAGTCCTTGGCATGTGGGAATCTAAGGAAAAGAGTGAGAGGGAAAAGGTCTGGCCCCTGTTCTTTTTGACTAAGTATCCTAGAAAAAGAAAAATAGACTGATCTTTAAGGTAATTCTTGGTTCAACTACAATTCCAAGTAAAAGGAGAAAGAGAATGAGGAAATCCTCTGCTTCTCTTGTTTTGTTGTTGTTACTGGTGCTGCTGAAGGATGAATAGCTAAGGGGGTTAGAATTGTTATAAAGAAATATGCCTTAGAGCCCCACTAGCCATAAACCTGAAGGTTTACAAAGAGCTTTATAGAGATTATCTCATATGATCTTCATAACACACTGTAAAGTAGGTGTTATTATTATTCCCATTTTATGGATAAGGAAATAGATTTAAAGAGGATAAGTGATTTGCTCTACATCATACATACATATGGGAAATGTAAAAGAAGGAGGTTTATCACTACCACATCTTAAACTATATTATGAGACAGTAATTGTTGAAACTATCTGGTACTGGTGAAGAAATAAAAAAGTAGGTCAATGGAATAGAGTAGACACACAATTTACAGCAGGAAATAAACATAATAATCTTGTATTTGACAAGCGTAAAGACAGGATTTGGGAAAAAGATTTCATTATTTGGTTAAAAATTTGTTGTGAAAACTGGAAAACTGTATGGTAGAATCTGGGCATAGAGCAATAACTTACATCTTTAACCAAAATAAAATCAAAATAAATACATGACTTAGATACAAAGAGAGATATTATAAGACAATTGGAAGAACATGGAACATATCACTTATCAGACATATGGATAGTGAACAATTTATAAATAAAAAAGAGACAGTGAACAAAGTTAGGTGTAAAATGGATAATTTCTAGTACATTAAATTTAAAAGGATTTGTACAAATAAAACAAATGTAGCCAAATCAGAAGGAAAGAAAATTTGGGGGAAAAATTTAGACAGTTGATCAGATAAAGGTCTCATATCCAAAATATATAAAGTAATCTGTCAAGTCTACAAGAATACAAGTCATTTCCTAATGTGATAAATGGTCAAAGGATGTGAACAGGCAGTTTTCAGAAGAAAAAATCAAAACAATTTGTAGTGATATAAAAAAATCCTCTAAATCATTATTGATTAGAGAAATGCAAATTAAAACAACCTTGAAATATCATTTTATACTTACTAGATTAGCTAAAATAATTAAAGGGGAAAAGAAAAAAAAATGTTGGAGGGGATGTGGGAAAATTGGGATACTAATTCATTGATGCTGGAATTGTGAACTGATCCAGCCATTTTTTGACAGCAATCTGGAATCATGCCCAAGGAAATATTAAACTGCCTATACTCTTTGACGCAGAAATACCACTACTAGGTTTATTTTCCAAAGGAAAAAAGGAAAAGAACCTATTATATTGTAAAATGTTTGTATCAGCTCTCTTTGTGGTGGCAAAGAACTGGTCATTTCAGGGATGCCCATCAATTGGGGAATAGATGAGCAATTTGTGTTATATGATTGCAATGGAATACTACTATGCTTGAAGAAATTATTATCTCAATGATCTGAGTAAAACACGGAAAGAATTGCATAAAATAATGAAGAGCAAAATAAGTAGAACTAAGAGAGCATTGTATATAGTAACAGCAATATTGTCTTAAGAATGATTTTGAATGAATGTTATTTTCAATATTATGAATACACAAATTAACTATAAAGGACATATGAAGGAAGAGGCTATCTTCATCCAGAGAAAGAACTCATAAATAGAAGTTTGTATAGAATAATTTTACACACATATACATATATTTGTGTCTAATGGTAGCCATCTCTAGGGTGGGGAGATAGGGAAGGGAAAAAAAGGAAAAAAGGAAATGTACATGATAATTTTGTTGTATATTTGAAAGAAATAACAAGTTGTGCACTCATTAGATTTGAAGTTTCATGTGCAATCATCTTTTTTATTATACTATGTTATGGAAATCTTTGTTTTATTCCACAAATTACATATATATATATATACACACACACACACATATACTTCCTAATTCATTATCTGAAAAAAAAAAGGCTCAGGAGTCAGTGCTCCCTATGCTATCCAGTCACACTCACAAAACTAACTTGAAATGTGGTACATTGAAATGGGAAGCACTCAAACACCCTGTGCTCAAATATTGCCTCTGTCATTCACTGCCTGGGTGACTGTGGGCCAATCATGCAACTCTCTGGGACTCAGTTTTCTCATCCATAAAGAGAGTGGGTGGGATTACATGGCCTTTGAGGTCCCTCACAACTCTAGATCTGTAATTCTATATATTCTTTCTCTGAACCTGGCCTAGATACATAGACAAGTGCACTGAGTAAATTCCAACCTGTCTTCCATATTCAATACCCTGTTCCCTCTACTTTCTGCCTTACAAGACTTTAGAAAATAATAATAAAAGACTGATAGGGCCCCTGTTTGTTTCACATGGACTGCCACACCTCTGACTGAGAGCAGTCACCTTCTCAACTGCTCAGCCCAGCCATTGCTTCTCTCTGCTGCCTGCTCATACACAGAGAGTTCGAGGCATCTCTGAGCAATGCTGATTAATACCACGTCCTGGGACACTGATCTACCATGCAAGATAGCTACTCAAAGGCAGCCCCCAACAGCCAAGTCTAGGAGGGAAAGCATGTAAGAGGTGAGAAAAAAGAAGCCAAAGAAGTGAAAAGAAATTGAGCTTTGAAGCATCTAGGAATCACAGAAGTTAAGGTAAAAGGAATTGTAATGGTTTTCCAGATTGCCTGAGTCATTATTACCATTGAACACACTATAGCTAAATTAATTTTTGACTTAGTTCTGACTGAGGATGGCGGCTGAATTAGGTAAATTGCTGCAGTCCCATCCCATCTTAAGAGTCTGTGGAAGAAATTATGGGTCACTGATATTTCAAACTTAATCAAAAGAAATGAGATAGCAACATAAAATACATGTTGTTATATGTAAGACTTCAGCACTAGTGATCACAAAGTTTACATTTGTAGTGATTTTATTTTCCTTTCATTTATGACTATTTAGAGGAGGAATTTTTTTTTTTTATTATGGAATTCTTTGGTATTCTTTTAAACTCTGTGGACCCCTTCTCAAAATATTCCCTTTAAATAAAATACATAGTATTACAAAAGGAGAAATAATAATGTCATTTATATAATTCATTAATGTTTTCAAAATACTTTATAAATATTATCTCATTTTATCCTCACAAAAACCCTGAGATGGCAATGCTATTAATATCCTCATTTTACAAATGAGGAAACTGAGTCAGACAGAAGTTAATGACTTGCTCTCCTTACTAAGTGCCCGTGGCTGGATTTGAACTCAGATCTTCCTGACTCCAGGTCCAATACTATTTGGCATACCATTATTACATTAAAATACAGTTATCAAGAGAAAAATATTTTTAAGTTCATGGATCCCTGGTTGAGACTCCCTGACAGAGAAAGACATAGAATCTGAGGTGCATTGACATTTCAAGGCACCCTAAAATGAGAACCACCTCACCAAGAGTTTTCTGAGGGCTGCTTTGACATCCTTGTCCCTCAGAGTATAGATTAGTGGATTTACAGCAGGGCTCACAGTGGTATACAGCACAGCCACAGCCTTCCCTTTTTCAGGAGAATATCTGGCACTTGGACTTATATAAGCACAAAATACAGCAAAATAGTACATGGTGACCACCATGAGGTGGGAGGAACATGTAGAGAATGCCCTCTTCTTCCCCTCTTCAGACTGGATCTTCAAGATGTTGGCAATGATAAAGCCGTAGGACATTATGGTCAGAAAGAAATTGGCACCACCCAAGAGGAGATCTGTCACAAGGGTCATAAGCTCATTTACCTGTATTGAGGAGCAAGGAAGTGGCAGGATTGGGGGGATCTCACAGAAAAAGTGATCAATGACATTAGGACCACAGAAAGACAATTGTACCAGCATCACTGTATGCATTCCAGAATCCAGCCCACCCATCATCTATAGCCCAGTCACCAACACCCCACAGATCTTCTTATTCATCAGAGTGCTGCAATGCAGGGTCCAACAAATAGCCACATACCTATCATAAGCCATAGCTGTGAAGAGAAGGAACTCAGAACTCAAAGCCCAAGAGAAGACGTTTACCTGAGTCATGCACCCAACAAAGGAGATGGCTTTCTTCTCCTCCACCAGGTTCTCCAACAAATTGGCCACCACTGTGGTTGTGCAAATGATATCTAAGAAGGCCAAGTTGATCGGTCAAAAATACATGGGCGTATAAAGACCTGAAGTGACTCAAACTGACAGAATGATGAGGGAGTTGCCAATTAGAGCCAGGGCATAGAAGAACAAGAAGAGACAGAATAAGAAGATTTCAAGGTGAGGGTTTTCCTGAAAAGCCCTGTAGGATGAATTCAGTGACCAATGTCTGGTTATTAAGAGTCATAGGTTTGGGGGATTGATTAGTCCAAAGGGCTGGGGGATTGATTAGTTCAACGTGGCCAGAAGCCCACTAGTGACTGTTGTGTCCTTGATGTGTCACTGATGGGTGTACTGAGCACTTGTGGACAGCAAACAAATCCTGAGAAGGGAAAAAAATGATTTTATGGCCTAATTTTAACCAAAAATCTGTGACAAGACACTATTCACCATAGACAGAAATGAAGGAATGCAATTACACTGCAGAATCTAGACACTGAAATACTTAGTTTGGTAAGGATGAGGCATGGGTAATGCCAGGGACATGCATGGGTAATGCCAGGGACATGCATGTGATTTCTTTGTGTTTTTTTTAATTTTATTTTCCTTTTCAATTAACAAGCATTTTAATGATGTTTAATGTTCCCACTCCCAATTTAAGAGAAAAAAAACCCTTAAAATTTATGCTATTGAGTTATCATTATCGTAGACTAGTGGGGTCCAACAGTAGATCCTCAAACTCTAAGGAACACAGAAGATTAGATAATCCTTGAGCTAAGGGCTGTGACAGGGAAGGGTGCTTGGGCTCATACAATACCAAGAAAAGAAGCAGCAGGTCCTCACAGCCTCAGGGGTGACCTCTTCTGAGTCTTCTGATTCTGCCTAACAATCTCACTTCATTTGCAACCCAGGCTTCATGCCAGTATAGGAAAGTCAGTGATCTGAGGCAGCTGAACACAGAGACAAAGACCAGCAATGAATAGGAGCCTTCTGTGGATTCATACAATAAAACCTGAGTAACACTTCTCACTTGAACTCCAGTCAAGTGAGGTGTGTGCATCTCCAACTACCTATTAGACATTTCTATCAGGGTCTCCCATAGATAGCTTATAATCAACATGTCAAAAACTGAACTCATTCTTTTGGCCTCCAAATCTTCTCCCTTCTGAATTTCCTTATTACTATTAAGGTCACTCCCTTCCTCCCAGTGACCCAGGCTTGCACTGCACCATAGGTGTCATCCTTGACTTTTCATTCTCTCATTCCCCTATATTAAATCTGTTGCCAAGTCCTACTAATTTTACCTTCATAACATCTTGCTAGAGGCCTCCTTCTCGCCCTTGACACTGTGATCACCCTGCTGCAGGCCTTCATCATTTCATGCCTAGACTATTTCAATAGCCTGCTGTGGTTCTCCCTACTTCAATTCTCTCCATACTTTAGTTCACCCTCCACTCAAATGTCAAATTAGTCTTCCTAATTGACCATGTCACCTTCCACCTCATAAAACAAACTTCTATGTTTCCCCACTAGAATCAAATATAAAACCCTCTGGCACTCAAAGCCCTTTACAATCTGCACCCCTTTAACTTTCCAGTCTTCTTACATACCTTACTCTCTCACAACCCCCACATACTCTGTGATCCAGTGACACTAACCTCCACGCTGGTCCTCTCACAAAACTCTCCATCTCCAGACTTTGAGTATTTTCACTGTTTGTCCTCAAGGCCTGGAATGCCCTTCCTCCTCATTGCCACCTTCTTTCTTTCTTGTCTTCCATCAAGTCCCAGCTAAAATCCCATCTTCTACAAGAAGCCTTTCCTGATCCATCTTAATGCTGGTGCTTGCCCTCTGAGATTATCTCCAATTTATCCTGTCTACATCTTGTTTATATAGAGTTGTTTGCATGTTTTCTCCCCCATTAGACTGTGAGCTCCTTAAATCGAGCAGGGAGATGAGGAGGAAGGAACAGCTGCAAAATTACTTAGAGTCTGGATATGGAGGAGTGTGAGAGGAACACAAGGAGGCCTGTTGTACTGGATCCCAGAGTACATAGGAACTGGGGGTGGTGAGAAGAGAGGTGTAGGAAGACTAGAAAGGTAGGAGAGGGTCTGTTTGGGAAGAGCTTTGAATGCCAAACAGAGAATTTCATATTTGATTCTAGAGGTGATAAGGATACAACTAGAGTTTATTTCTGGTGCTAGTGACATTGTTAAATCTTCACTTTAAGAATAAAGTTGACATATAAGTAGAGGACAGACTGGAGTAAGGAGACACTTCAGTCAGGGATCATCATTTCAATGTAATCAGTTTCCTTTGAAATCCTTACATAACAGTACACAAGAAACCAGACAGGATGTATATAAGTCACATCCCACACTACCTCCAATTCCTCTTAATTGTTTCTCTGTGAAAGATTTTTTTAGTGCAATATCCCCAAAGATTCATTTATAGTCACAGCTATGTATATTTCACAGGCTTTCAGTTACGATTATACCTGAGTCATCTTTAAGACAGGAAGATGAATATCTAGTGATCAAATGTTGGAATGGAAGGAGACTCAGGAACTGAAGTGGGCTTATATCCAGCCCCCCAGACAACTAATTGTTCCTATCACAACTACTTCTGAGCCATCTAGCTTAGCCTAAGCACAAAGATTTAGAGCAAGAGGGGGGAACCTGCCACCTCAAGGCCACCTGTGGCCCCTAGGTCCACAAGTGAGCCCTTTGACTGAATCTTTCTGAAATTTTGTTTCAGTCAAAGGGCCACACTTGAGGCCCTAGAGGGCTACATGTGGCCTTGAGGCCACAGGTTCCCCACCCCTAACTAAAAGTATCTGGCACATAGTAGACTTTTCAAAAAATTCTTGATAATAAATTGGGAGGTTACTGGATTGCATCATCAACAAGTAGGATCATAGAATGTAGTTGGAAAAGCTCTTAAAAGTCTTCCAGTCCAACTCCTTCAATTTACAAATAAGGAAACCGAGGGATAGAACAGGTAAATGACTTGCCAGAGATTACACAACTAGGTGTCAGTGATTAGATATGTATGTATGTGTGTGCATACACATATGTATGTGTGTATGCATATACATTTCTATACACAGATAAGCAGAGGCTGATGCTTAAGACTAATGCTGGTCAACTAGGAGAGAATGTTCAAAATATTCATAATTGCTAGGTAAGAATGGACCAGCCTTGGAGTCAGACAGACCTTCCCAGTACCCAAAACAACTCTATAAGCCAGTTTTTTACAGAGGGTTTTCTTGTCTTCATTGATAGAGGTATTAGAGTTTTCCTACACCCATAAAATCTTAAGTCTAAAACAAAAAAAATTTAATTAGCATGGATTTCTAAGAATTTAATGAAGATGATATTTCATTAGCTGAGGGAAGAGGGAGGAGAGAGAACTAATTTAAAAACTAATATAAAGCAATGAATATTAGAATTTAAAATTATTATATAAGTTATCTTATTTCAAATGTCACATTTTTGAGATAGAAAACTGAAGTCCGTAGGATTATACATTTAAAGGTAGAAGTGACTTTGAAGCTCCATTCCAATACTATATGTTTGCATATGAGGAAATTGAGGCCCAGAGATGTTGTAACTTGCCCAAGGTTACATGGGTATTTAGGAGGCAGCACCAGGATTAGAAGTCAGACTATTGCTCTCTCGACCACTTCCTGGCTACCTCATGGCATCGTCTTTCCAACGTATTTCTTTTTTATTGAGTAAATGCCATAAAACCCAATAGCAATGAGGTTGGTGCTCACCTGGAACTCTTCCATCAGTACTATCAAATGGAGGCAACCGCAGGGCAATTCTTGAGAAAGGAAAGAATGAACTAGCCTTTAAGAAAATAGCAGTGTCTGAAGGGAATAGATTCACACTGGCCACAAGGGATTCTCTTAATCAGGTTTCTGTGGGAAAGACCCTGAAAGAGCAATTAACAGATGCTGATGGTGTTGTGACTACTGTTGGGGTACAAACTCAATTCTAGGTCGGGCCTTCAGGAGAAAAATTCCTAAAATCACTCTTATAACTTAAGCACAGGAAAAATTATTAGAGATTCTCTAGCTTTCACTCACTTTACAGATAAGGAGACTGAAATACAGGGATTAAAAGTAAGTTGAGTAAAGCCACAGAGTACATCAGTTGTCAAGATGGAGTTAGAAGACAGGCTTTCTGCTTCCTTGTCCAATGCTTACTACTATATAATCCTGAATTCCAAAGGAACTCTTTATAAGCATCACTAACCTGATGTTCCTTCTTTATCAGCTGTGGTCTTGAGAGGAATTTCAAGGTAATAGGAAGCAGAGTGAATGAAAGGTGTGTGGTCTAGCCCTTGTTTAGCCATTAGCCGGCTTGCTGAGCTTTAGTAAATTCCTTCTGTAGTTGCATCCCTGTGCCTAGTACAGTGTCTGGAACATAACAGGTGTTGAATAAATTGATTGTATGGTCTCTAAGATTTTATTCCCCAGCCTTAGAGAAACAGCAGGAGAAGTAATAGGTGTATTTCCTGAATCCCCAAAAAGGGAAGAGATGAGTAGAATTCAGTCACCTACATATTGCTATGAGTAAGGGTTTTGTGCTTTTTGTTGAGAAGAATAAGTTGGGGGCAGGGAGGTGGCACAGTGGATAGAGCACGGGACCTAAGTTCAAATCTGGCCTCAGACCAAACACTTGACACTTACTAGCTGTGTGATCCTGGGCAAGTCACTTAACCCCAAATGCCTAAAAAAAAAAAAAAAAAAAGAGAAGAGAGAGAAGAACAAGTTGGTGATTCTAAGAGTTGCCTGGGCAGGAATTTTGTGTCCCAATTATGCTCTAATTTTGTTCTCATGAGACTGGGAAACAATGGAACTGACATTATACTAAAGCCCTTAAAGTGAATTGACATGAATCTTTCTCAAGGAAACCAGCAACACTCCCTCAAATAGAAATGACAGAAATAGCAAGGTAGAGCTTCAATAGATGGTGAGAATAAAAATTAAAATCAAGGGCACCAGAGGACCATGAGTGGACCCACCTGC